TGAATGGGCTGTAAAAGGAGGTGAAGAGCTTGTACATTTCAGCAGCTGCGGGGGTATTAGTCAAGGGGGCGTACTGTGGCACTGCTGCTGGGCAAACTGCATTTCCTGGTTTTCAGAGGGTCTGCGGTAGCTCAGCTCAGTATTCTGCAGGGGATGAGACACTACCAAGCAACCATCATTCTGCGTTAACAGAGCTTTTTGCCATTGAGTTTTTAACAGGAAAAGATGTTGTTGTTGTTGTTTGTTAGCGGCTCATAGTCCTGTTTAGACAGTCGTACGTATCATGTCCTGTGATTAGCATGCTGACCCATCTGCTGTTCCCCTCACAAATACACACATCAGCTGGGCCCCACCAGCCTTGTTTCAGCCCCCCCCCCCCCTTCCAGCCATTCCTCTGACCCAGTCATGTTCCCCGCTCCCACCTGGCCCCTTCCCCACTTCTCTACCCAGGCCTCCCAGCTGCAAGCGGGGAAAGCATCTCCCTGAGGTCTTCACTCCCTCACATACAAATGTTTCTATTACTGTTCCTCCCCCGCACCCGTCCTATAACCCAGCTCCCACCAGTGTCTAGAGTGAATGGCAACTATGTAAAAGCAGAATTATGTTGAAGTGTAGGAAGGCTGGGTATGGGAGGACTGGGATCCACTGGCAGAGCTGTTGAGAGCATGGGCGTTGGGGTGCACTGGCGGAGCTAGGGTCGCAGGGATTGGGCTGTGTCACAGATTGGTGCTAGAGCCAGTCAGTGGGCCTGACCCTGTAGGGGTCTCGCTCTTCCTCCAGGGTAAGCCACACAGCTTCACCGCCTCGTACATTCTCAACGGGTGGATGAGACGATGGTGTAGGGAGGAGCGATTTAGGCTTATTAGGAACTGGGGAAACTTTTGGGAAAGGAGGAGCCTATACAGGAAGGATGGACTCCTCCTAAACCAAAATGGAACCAGATTGCTGGCACTTATAATTAAAAAGGTCATTGAGCAGTTTTTAAACTAAGGGCTGGGGAAAGCCGACAGGTGCGGAGGAGCACGTGGTGTAGACAAAGACATCCCTTAGAGGAGGATCTATTAATGGAGATTCTCTGTGTCCTAGTAAGGAGGAGAGGAGGGAAGATGATAAAATACAGGTAGGATCTGATGAGAAACAGTCAAATGAAAAAAAGCCCCATTCAATTACATCATGTAATAGCAGACAGCTAAAAAGTGACAAGTTTTTAAAGTGCTTTTTTACAAAGGCTAGGAGTCTAAATAAGATGGGTGAACTAGAGTGCCTCGTATTAAATGAGGATTTTGATATAACAGGCATCAGAGAAACGTGTTGGAATGAGGATAATCAGTGGGATACAGTAATACCAGGGTACAAAATATATCGGAAGGACAGAACAGGTCGTGCTAGTGGGGGAGGGGCACTATATGTGAACGAAAGCGTAGAATCAAACAAAGTAAAAAATCTTAAATGAACCAAACTGTACCACAGAATCTCTATGGATAGTAATTCCACGCTCTAATAAGAAGAATGTAGCAGTAGGGATATATTCTCGACCACCTCAGCAGGATGGTGATAGTGACTGTGAAATGCTCAGGGAGATTAGAAAGGCTATAAAAATATAAAACTCAATAAAATTGGGGGTTTCAGATATCCCCATATTGACTGGGTACATGTCACCTCAGGACGGGATGCAGAGATAAAGTTTCTGACACCTTCAATGACTGCTTCTTGGAGCAGCCAGTCCTGGAACCCACCAGAGGAGAGGCAATTCTTAGTCCTAAGTGGAGCACAAGGTCTGGTCCAAGAGGTGAATATAGCTGGACCGGTTGGTAATAATGACCATAATGTAATTCAATTTAACATCCCTGTGGCGAAAAAACACCACAGCAGCCCAACACTGTAGCATTTCATTTCAGAAAGGGGAGCTACACAAAAATGAGTTAGTTAAACAGAAATTCAAAGGTACAGCGCCAAAAGTGAAATCCCTGCAAGCTACATGGAAACTTTTAAAAGACACCACAATAGAGGCCCAACTTAAATGTGTGCCCCAAATTAAAGAACACAGTAAGAGAATCAGAATGATTTAGTTGGGGTTGGTCCTGCTTTGAGCAGGGGGTTGGACTAGTTGACCTCCTGAGGTCCTTCCAACCCTGATATTCTATGATTCTATGAACCAAAAAAGTGCCACCATGGCTAAACAACAAAGTAAAAGAAGCAGTGGGAGACAAAAAGCCATCCTTTAAAAAGTAGAAGTTAAATCATATTGAGGAAAATAGAAAGGAGCATAAACTCTGGCAAATGAAGTATAAAAATATAATGAGGAAGGCCAAAAAAAGAATTTGAAGAACAGATAGCAAAAGACTAGCAAAATATAAATAAAAATTAAGTACATCAGAAGCAGGAAGCCTGCTAAACAACCAGTGAGGCCACTGGACGATTGAGATGCTAAAGGAGCACTCAAGGACGATAAGGCCATTGCAGAGAAACTAAATTAATTCTTTGCATCAGTCTTCACGGCTGAGGATGTGAGGGAGATTCCCAAACCTGAGCCATTCTTTTTAGGTGACAAATCTGAGGAACTGCTCCTGATTGAAGTGTCATTAGAGGAGGTTTTGGAACAAATTAATGAACTAAACAGGAATAAGTCACCAGGACCAGGTGGTATTCACCCAAGAGTTCTGAAGGAACTCAAATGTGAAATTGCAGAACTGTGACGGGTTCGGTCACAGAGACCCCCTTGGGACTGTCACCTGATGTGCTGAGACTACCTCTGAGCCCGTTTTCTCTGCCAGTTTGGTCTTCCAGAACCCTGCCTTGTTGAGCCAGACACGCAAGCCTGCTGCAACACAGACCCCCAAAGCTGCAGACTTAACTGAAAACAGCTTAAGTGCTCCTATCTCCAGCTCCCAATGGAATCCAAACCCCAAATAAATCCGTTTTACTCTTTTATAAAGCTTATACAGGGTAAACTCATAAACTGTCTGCCCTCTATAACACTGATAGCTATAGAATCATAGAATATCAGGGTTGGAAGGGACCTCAGGAGGTATTTAGTCCAACCCCCTGCTCAAAGCAGGACCAATCCCCACACAGATTTTTGCCCCAGATCCCTAAATGGCCCTCTCAAGGATTGAACTCACAACCCTGGGTTTAGCATACCAATGCTCAAACCACTGAGCTATCCCTCCCCAGCTGTTTGCTCCCCCAGGTATTAATCACTTACTCTGGATTTAATAATACACAACAGTGATTTTATTAAGTATAAAAAGTAGGATTTAAGTGATTTCAAGTAATAACAGACAGAACAAAGGAAGTTACCAAGCAAAATAAAACAAAA